GTTCCCGAGGGAATGTCGAAAGCGTAGCCCACGCCAGGACCACGTTCTGAAGCATTGGCAACAATGCTTCAGAAATGGGTACAGGATGCACAGGGCACAAAAAATATCTGCGGGATTCTACTCACAGAAGGATGGAAGCAGGAAAGAGTTGGAAGGGGAGGATGCCAGGAAGGCATGGGCCGCGAGGACATGGTCCAGGGAGGGAGGGGCCCAAAACTCCTCAGCAGACATGGAACCGGATGTCAGGAGCCGACACAGGCAGATACGGGGACTACGAGAACAACGTGGCCAAGCCGAGGCAACAATTTCGGCAAACGACAAAACGATTGCGGAGCTAAGACAGCTGAACAATAATTAGCGGCAAACGATCAAGATGGCGAATCTGACCCTGGAATCAGTAAGGGTCAGATAGAGGACGGCAGACGAAAGGTTACACAAGCTGAGAAGGACCATGCGCTGGGCAGGACGGGAACTATTGAAACTGGGAGAAAAAGCCTGATGGGACTCAGGCTTAGGAGGAGGGGAGCTAATGTCACGAACGTGGCTTGGGATGGAAAAGGTTTTCACGTGATACATGGTTATGAGTCACAGGTATGTTGTTGTTTTGCGCATATAACTCATTCGGGTTATATGATTTGTTATGTATGGGATTTGTGATGCTTTCGCACATGGCTCAAGTATGAGTCATGGGACATGCGCATGGCGAGTATGCCTTGCGAGTGTGCCTTACGGGTAAGCCTTGCGCATATGATATATGTTTCACACATGACCTCATTATGAGGTCATGGGTTTCGTGCATATGACTCTGTCGAGTCATATGACTTGTTTATTGTGTTATGATTGGTTTATAAGTTTTTGTACATGGCCTCGTTATGAGGTCATGGGTTTTGAGCATGTGATCACTTTGGTCACATAACTAGTTTGTTATGATTTGGTTTCGCGCATGTGGCCACTTTAGGTCACATGACTATGAGTGGGAAGAATACTATATAAGGAGGCCGAGGTTGCCGAGGAAGATAGGTTCTTCACGCTTTGTTCTAAGTACTTTTCCTCGTCCTTGCCGTCGCTTTATCCCGAGCGTTTCTTTCGCCATCATGATGGGCCTTGAAGCCTTGGATTCTGGGGGAGATATCTGAGTTCGCTCCGTAGTTCCTGGGGTCTTTGGTGTGGAGGTCTGTTAGGTGTTGTGTGGCAGACTGCTTGTTTACATCTGGTTTTGTCGCCTGATAGTTTCTCACGATACTGTCACTTCGAGCTCTTCATTACGGTCGCATACGGGCCCCTTTCAGTAAAATATCTACAGCTTCCTGTCTATCGTCTACTCACAGGTTTCGCGTTCGATTGGAGGGATTGAACATTGTGTTTGGGGGGATCACCCGTGTCATTCTTTGGGCCAGCTCATATCTTTGTTGGGCTTTAACGGAGTCCTTAGTTCTCACGATACAAAACACCCTTAGGTTAGACTGATGACCTTCCCAAGTATCAATGTGTCATACTGGCCGCATTATTCCTCAGGTGGCAGGGCAGTACCCACCCAGCCCCTCTTTGTTATGTTTTCGTTTCTATGGTCGGAATCCTACGATGTTGTTTATCACCATTCACTTGGAGCTTTCGTCCTTGCGACATTTACGGTGATTCAGTCAGGCGTCTCCTCCTCGCATTTGTAGGGATGGCTTTGACCCTGAAGACATTTACCCCCTAGTGTGGTTATTGTTGCTGCCGGGGGTGGTGTGGAACGATTGGCTGCTAGACACACCCATTGTCTGGTGTTTGGGTAGTTCGGTTATGGTCTGTGGTTGGCAGCTTCACCCACTATAAGTGGGGCCTACCTTCTGTTAGTCTGCTTCTGTTCGTTTGCCCTCCCCCTTCTTGTTGCATCAGTTGCAGATGCCTCTTGTCCGTCATTCGGTCCGTGCCTATTGCCAGACCTGTGGAGCTGGCTTCAGCTGGCTCTGCTTACTCTTTCCCTGCTCGGTTGGACTTCGGTTTGGCTGGGTTGGATGGTGTAGCAGGTGCTGATGCCTTCGAGTGTTGATGTCGCCTCCTTTGTGGCTCCTGGCTGTGGCTGGTGGGCCCCCCTCGGCTATAGGGTGTTGAGGGTTGTGGCTCTGTTGGCGTGGCCAAGACCAGTGGCTGCCCAATAGGGTTAGGTATAGCTGTCCCGTGGCTGTCCGATGGTTGATCTGTCTGAGGGGCTGAGGGGGCTGGTTGGGCTCTGTGGCGCCTGGTGTGTGTGGCTTGGGGGGGGCTGATTGGAGGGGGAGAGGCACCTGTGAGCACCGGTCAGGCATGCGTCAGGTTGGGCGATATCTAATTAAGTGTTTCCAGCCTGATGGGGCTGTTGGGTGAAGCTGCTGAGTGCTGCAAAGCTCCCCGACGACCCAGATGGTTGATGGCCACCTGTGCGGATAGTGGGTTGCGACCACTTGGTTGGACTTGTTTGCATCTTGCGTGCTGGGCTTTGTGGGGTTTCTTTGGTTTCTTTGGTTTGGCAATGGGCTTGGCTGGAGGGGGCAAGGCACCACGGGTGGGAGATAGGCCCCACTGGCCGTTTAGGTCTGTCACCACCTCTATGTTTTTCTTTTGTTTATGAGTTTGTTTTTGGGGGACAGGCAGTGGGTACAGGTCCTCCTCACCATTACGCTCTTCAGAGGCACTTGGCAAAGTGGGTTCATAGGGTCGACGGCCTGGCATGCGGATGCGAGTGGTGGACATGTTGGTTACCTTTTCTCTGCCATCGTGTCGCCTGTAGTTTATGTTTGTTTTAGTTTTTTGTTGGTTTTTTTATTGTGATAGAGGTGTTGCATGACAGTGTTCACACCGGGCGGTAGTGATGTTATATTTGTTGGACGAGGAACCTGGTTGGGTTGGTCTTTTGCTCGGCTTCAGCTACACTTAGTGCTAGTTGGCTTCATACCAGAGGGGCTACGGACTTGGACCGGGGTGGGCACTGGGTTGTTTGATGGTTTTGTAATTAGTTTCTGTGCAGGCATGACTCGGGGATGGCAGGTGTGGGACCGTAGACTTAGTTAGCTTAGGATTAGTAGTATACCGGTTAGCAGTATCCCGGTGCCGACGGGGGCTCGTCGTATGCCAATGTTGGCGGTACGAGTTTAAATAAAATTAGATTGACTTCTAAGTACTTTTCCTACTTATTACTTTAACGAATATAAAACATCTTTACGATCTTTATCTTTATTGCAACATTATTGTTACGCCAAGAAAGGTTCTTCATGAAGACGAGTTAGAAAAAGCTTACTATAGGCGTTCCCGATAGAAGACAAAGGTCTTGTACTATCGGTAACGTAGGCAGAGGCCTAGAGCTATCATAAGACGAAGAAAGAAGAAGACAGAAAGAGAAGTATCGTTCCCTGTCGCCAAGAACTAACTATCAAGAGAGGGATCGTTACAAAACATCACAACTTATTTCGTTATAAGCATCGATCGAAGCCACCCTTATCCCCCCAATGCAAATTGGATCGACTAGATTTACTTGAATGGAAACTAGAACAACCAATAGAATTATTCGTTTTCAGTGACGAGATGATTTTTGAGGTCAGGGAACCACGAAGGCTTCACGATGTTACCAGATACAAAGGAGAAGATCCATATGCTTCTGCAGTTCCAGATAAGAAGAAATCTGGTTTGAGCATCATGGTATCCGGTAGTGTTACACTTGGTTTTAAAGGTCCTTTATGGGTTTGGATTAAGGAAACTTCAGAGGAGCGAAGCACAAACAACGAAGAGTTATGGCAAGAAAACGAGGAAAAAGCACAACAGATACAGCAGAGGAGGGTAAATGCAACGATTCTGGGCACCAATGAGTATGAATATATACAGGCTTTAAATCAAAATATTACAAAATATAACGCCAACCGAGGACCTAATGATTGCTGCCGAATGCCTTCCTGTCCATATTGGGAATTCGGTGAGGAGATTCGGGATCGCAGTAGTGGTGGGGGCTTGGATTAGTTTTTGTACCGCAAGGAGATTCTTCACAATTTTCTTTACCCTTTTGTTGAAACTATTCAAAGCCAAACAGGACGATATTGTTGGCTTATTGAAGATAATGCTGGTAATCACACAATGGCAGCCCGAATGGACAAAGAGGAAGCGGCAGTAAGAGGCATTCACTGAGTTCCTAAATGGCCAGCGAATTCTCCAGACTTGAACGAGATTGTACCTTGCTGGAATTACCTAAAGGATGTAATGATGGAATACGATTTTACAGGGACTAGTGAGCAGACAAGAGAAGAGGTGGTAAATACTCTGAGATTTGAGTGGAATCATATGCATCAGGAGTTGGTTGACCAGTTTTGTATAAATTTTCACTTTAATCTCTTACAAGTTCGAGCTTGGGGTGGAGACAACAAGTTCAATGCCTAAATCACTCTGCTGTGCCCTTAGTATAAATAGAAACATTAGAGTCTATAGAGTTCAAAGTTCATGTCGTAAATTGCACCAGCATCCACTCACGATGACTTGAAAAGTTAGACTCCCGGCTTGTCACATACTACTTATCTACTATACTTCTTCGGCAGAAAAGAACTATCCCTAGGCACTAGGCCAGATGGGGAAGGCAAATCTTGGCTCAGAAGCACGAGTACTTGAGTACTCGAGTAGAGAAAGAATAGCGTATCCCAGACACACAGCTCGGGCAAAAGAAGCTTGGTAGATCACATTAACTGGTGCAAGTATCTGCAATCCCGTTAACCTATGCTGCTAACCCTATTGAGGCAGAGGAGGGTAGTTCCCGTGGTTCACACCCAATCCCATAGTGGATTTAGCGAGTTAATTCTGCACCCGTATTTCATTCTATATCTTAGCGTCAAGTATAACAAATAATGTGATATGATACCCTCCCCTCTTCGTAGACTATGATAATAATTATTATGATACAGGTATGATACGGTATGATACTAGCTCCTTCGATCACGTGATAGCATCTTGGCGAAAAAAAATCTCGCCCACCAAGTCTTGAAAAATTATCAGAGGAATAACTTCTTCAACAGCGCCAACATTCGCTCAACAACCAACACCCCTTCATTTGGAACAATGGCCAAAAGGAAGAGGCCCACTCCTTCTACCGCCGCTGTTGCTTCTACTGCTGCCCTTAGCAATCCTACCACCGTTGTGGCCGGAAATTCTATTGTCCCTCCAACCCCTCCAGCACTCCAGCATGCCTCTGAACCCCCCCACCCACCTCTCAACTTCCAGGTAATCACCGGATCCTACGACAAGGTCCTTCACGGCTTCATCGTGACAATCCCCTCCTCCTCCCCGACATCCTCCACTCCTTCTACATCTTTAGTCCCGAAAGAAAATGACGCCATTTCACTACCCGCAACCTTTACGGATTCCTTCCTCTTCACCGCCCACACAGCGCCAATCCGTACCCTAACAATCTCACCGCCCTCCGCAAACATCTTGCAGAAGCGTATCCTCGCTACCTCATCAGCTGACGAGCATATAAACCTCTACACCCTATCGTCCACTCTTCCACCGATAAACTTTCAAAAACTAAAAAAGGCAGCTTCAACCCTAACGGCCAGCAATCCCAAGAACAAAAACCTGGGAGTATTGTCTCATCATCTCAACACTCCAACAGCTATAATATTCACTCCTAACCGATCAAAAATTATAACTGCGGGGTTGGATGCTCAGATTCATATCCTCCGAACTCGCGATTGGGCACCCTTATCCATGCTTAAATGTCCGAAACCCAAGCCCAAACCGATCAACTACGCAACCGATTACGGAGACGGATACGGCCCAAGGATCGACACGTTCAATTCCGAGGCAACGTATGGCGGCGGCGCCGGAGGTGTAAATGATATTGCCCTTCACCCTTCTCAAAAGATCCTCCTCTCGGTTGGCAAGAGTACGCGGCAAGTCCGGATGTGGAACTTGATGACAGGTCGTAAAGCCGGAGTACTAGCCCTAAGCAGAGAAGTCGTTCCCCCGATATTTGGCAGTGAAGGGACGAAGGTAGTATGGAGCAAAACCGGAGAAGAGTATGCAATCGCCTTCGAACGCGGAGTAGTAGCCTTTGGGATGGACTCCAGGCCGAAAAGTCGAATCCGGACAGCGCCGATATCCAAGGTCCATCAGATTCGATACATCAACTTACCCACCACCATCACGCAGAACAAGAAAGATACGGAGGAGGAAGAGGTATTGACAATTTCCACTGAGGACGGGAGGGTGTTATTCTATTCCACTACCGATCCGGAATCTCTAGATTCCCCAAATTTGATCGGTTTCCTCGGTGGAAGGTCTATTGGCATGCCTGGCAGAGTGAAAGACTTTATCACAATCGCCGTCCGGAATAATTTCTACCTCATCACCGGCGGAACCGACGGGGTAGTGCGAATCTGGGATCTCGGCAAGGACTCGGAAAAGGATATCCAAGAGATGAAGAAGGTCCGGATCGATGGTGGAGAAGGGAGGCAAATTGGTTGCTTGGTCGGAATTTACGAGACGGAGCGACGGATCACTTGTCTGGGTGTCATGGAGATGGGCGGCGAGGGCGTTGAGGAGGAGGAAGATATTGAGATGAGTGATAGCAGTAGTAGCAGCAGTGGCGGTGAGGACGATGATGATGATGAGTAGATCAATAACCTAGATCCGGACACCCTGGTGCATTTTTGTTCATAGGCTATCACTCGATGCCATAGTAGCTGGTATGATGGTATGATAGTATTATATGATGATGGGACATAAGTTAGGGGAGGGTTGACCGATGCACCTTGTTAGTACAGAGGTTTAATCAAATCGCGGAAAATCACACAATGTCATCATAATAATAATATTGTCATGCATGCAACTCTATTCCCTCGGGGGGTGTGACCATGAATGACCAATTTACCTCCTCCCCAACTTTGCCCATTGCTTCCATTCACTCAGGACTCCCACACTACCATACTCAGGTACCTAGCCCGGACCCTCCCGACCCTTCCGACCGTAACCCAGTCGGATCGTGACCACCGCATCGTCTTTGCCCATGCAGCCCACAACAACCTTTTCGTACACTGTCCCCGTCTCAATCATGATAGATCCCGTCCCCCTCACGAGCCGATCACCCAATATCACCCGATCGCTATCCGGGTTCGGACCGTATGGTTACATACCCTAGGATACGATACAGCACAGCAACTCACCGCAAACTCAGACGCCGTCGCTCGGGCCAGTGTAAGAAAACAGTATATACCTCAACGGGGGACAAGAGCGGAGAGGGTCCACAATAACATATGGAGGAGGAAAGGAAAAGCCAAATTTAGTTTTTAAATGCACGACCAACCGCCGGAATTGCCGATAAGAACACGCTGCTCCCCATATGCCGCCTCAGCCTCAGCTTTAGCTCCGTTGTTCGGGCGTCTCCCAATCTCTGTGGGGAGAGTGATCTAAGACCCACCCGTTGCGGGAGAATTTGGTCGTGGAATCCTACGGCGGAAGGTGCCATTCCCCAGCATCGAGTTTCGTGCTAGTATCATAGCGCGAGATGCCGCCCCTCAGCGCTAGTCAACACTTGGCATTTTGTCAACTGGTCTTGGCGGTTATAAATCTGATAATTTTGGATAATAATTATAATCTCAATCCTGCGTCCTTTTACCTATAATTAGCCAATTTACACCTGCCAATACCAGGTGACAGGATGCTAAGTGTTGAACTAAAAGTCCAAATCAGGGCGCGACACACGGTTTTTGAGAGCAGTGCCCAACCCGGCCTCTGGGGTGCACTCCGATGACCACCCCCCGAATAGGGCCCTACCGGTACCTGTACAGCCATTACTGTTCGGTAACCTCTACTTTCCCTTCCCGGTCCCTAGTGCGTGTGACTCGGATTCCCAATATCCCTCCCTGCCCGCTTCGCTACATGCCACGAACACCCCTCCATAGTTACCGAACGGTGCTCCGCAATGTTTCCCCCACTAGGGCAATTCTGTCTAACGCTTGGATTGGGCATCGCGAGCCTGCACAATCTTCCGGACTGGAAAGAATTTCGACACGTCCGAACATTAGTGCTCGAGCGATACCGTATAAGTTTGTTGGCTACCGCGTACAGTACAGTAGATGCAGCACCGTTACTCACCGCTGTGGGGTATAGAAGTCCAAATCATGGCGAGCCAAACGCCTCCCGAAAGACCGTTTATATGGTGTTCGTGGGATGGGTGTCAAAAGATTTCCCACTGTATTAATTTTCCAGGGTGAGTGGGAACTGGAAAGTATGTACGGCCTCCTGGCTCCATCTTCAAGCGGGAAGCGGAGGGACAGTGGCGCATAAGCATTTTCACTAAACCATGTCCGCAGTGGGAACCAATCACCATACCTTATTTACAGCTAGTTTTTAAGTGGCTTTTCGCAAGTGTGGAGAATACTTCATATTTTTTATTATTCTATGCTCTCTCTGTCTGAGTTTTGAAAAAGTCTTCCAGTTTTACTAATTTTTATCCCGTCCCCCGGCTTGAATTCCTGGTCTTCGGTGTGTAGGGGTGCTTAAGTTATACTATCATAAATCAAATAACACCATTGATCTTTATTACCCCCTTCATCCAAGATTCCCAAGGTCCTGGGAACACTCCTAACGTAATGGCAGAAGGGTGAAAGGGTTCAGATACTCGAGTATGGAAACATCACACAATACCATAACGAAAGCCTACCATTCCAAATACCCCTTCTTGCACCTACCATGGTATGATGGTCGCATTTTTCATCAAGACTGTGCGGCGGAGAAATTCAGCGCCAACCCACTATCACAGAATCTGTAGCGTCACCCGGTAAACGTAGCTAACATATATCATACTATCAACGCACCCAGCTCTTCAGTAACTTTCGTCCATTCCTCGAACCATGTTCTGAACCCCTTCCCCCCGACCTATGATGCCTCTGCAAGTTAGAGGCGCTGGACCCCCCGTCCCGCGAGACGAACCGCTATCCGGGGTGAGCAGCGTTGGCAATTACTTACCAAATAGGCGGGATTGCCGTCACCAAGACCCATGTCCCCGCTGTGCGAGTGCAGTAAAGCACTAACCCAGGATAGCTTATATCCTCCCAAGGTCCGGGGCCACGTGCACTCGTGGGGGAACAGACCCAAGAAAAAGGGTAATGCATCGGCTAAAATCTTTATTTAGCGGAAGCGAGAGTTGAGCGGGCTGGATTGACATTATTGGAACACCTTGAGGAGGTACGCAATCGGGGTTCCGGGATGTATGGCCTGGGTGGTCTTGTAAATCGGGTTCTACGGAGTGATGTGGAGTGAATAATATGATGGGCTGCCGGAGACTTGGCGGGACAGGATTGTTATCCAAGATACTCGCCAAATTTTACGCATTATGCGGGTCTGCGTGGAGTCCTCTGCACGAGTACAGTACTTGACACGGGTGCTGGGGGGTGTCTCGGAACTTTAGTTCCACAAACTGGCTGTACTGTACTGTCCGGAGCCACCCATCTCATCCCGAGTGATATCCCGTGAATGCCCCCTACCCCTATCGACAGCAGAAGTTGACATTATTATTATGATATCATATCATACCATCATCAAATTTACATAAGGAAACCGCCTAACACCAACTACGCAACCTATCATACAAAAATCTGCAACAATTTACAACACAGTGATACTAATAATCTTCACATCATCCTCCGGCTTCTCCTTGAATGTGCGTACGTTCTCGATCTTGTGCACGACATCCAGTCCCTGCGTGGCTCGCCCGAATATAGTATGGCGGTTGTCCAACCAGGGTGTTTTCTCCGTGGTAATGAAGAATTGTGACCCATTTGTGTCTATGGAGCGTCAGTGAGAAAAGATATTCTGGGAAAGGAAGGAAGGAAGGGACATACTTGGGCCAGCATTAGCCATTGACAGCGTATACGGTTTATCGTGCTTGAGCGTGGAAAACTCATCCTCGAACTCCCCACCCCAGATCGATTCTCCGCCGGTACCGTCGCCAAGCGGGTCCCCACCCTGTATCATAAACTTCTTGATGACACGATGGAATATGGTCCCGTTGTAGTATTGGCTTCTGGCGTGTGTGACAAAGTTCTCCACGGTTTTTGGCGCAGCCTCCGGGAATAGTCGTACATGGATGTCGCCAAGCGAGGTGTGCATTATTGCCGCCTGGCCACTTTCCTGTTTTACCGTTGTAGCGATGGGGCCGGCGCTCGCCTGGTTTGCCTGGGCCGGCTTCTCATTCAAGATATCGCGCTCAGACTTTGAAGCGCTAGAGTCGTTGGTAAAGATATAGAAGCGGGGTTTTTGGTAGGCTGTGCAGACGATCATAGGGTCTCGTTCGGTGGATTCGTTGAGGAGCGGGTTCGCGGATGCCGCCATCTCTACGGTCATTAAGGATTTTTTCTTCGGGGCGCCTTGATAGATTGCTAGGTGCATTGGGCGAATCCCTTCTTCTGCTGAGAGGAGACGGGGTAAGGTATTTGTAGTCATGTTTAGGATTTTGATACCCGCAAGGGATCCGTAGATTATAAAGTAGCCAGATTCGTCAAATATTATGTTTTGTTTTGTGAGGGAGGACAGCGAGGTTAGATCTGTTTCTACAGCTATGCGGCGGCCAAATTCAAGATCCGGGAGCTTTCTATCTGAGGAAGCTGCTTGCTGGATCGTGGTCAGGGTGCTGATGGACTCGTCATATGATCTGTAGAGCTTTGCGGAGGAGAAATCGAAGACGCGGACTTGACGGTCAGGATATGAAAACGTAGCGAATTGTTCACAAGTTGGGGAGATCGCTAACGAGGAAGGTACTGATTTTGCCCGCTTGAAGTCCAGGAGGCTGGTATCAGATTTGAACACGAAAACTGAGGATGGCTTTTCGAATTCACGTTCAGAATGTGGGCTCCAGTATTCTATCATCCCACCTTCATCGCACGACACCACCGTATCGTACTTGTCATTGAAAGACATCAGATGAACGATAGCTCTATGGAGCTTTGGTAATGTTGCGAGAACCTTCATACTCTCCGGTCGACCGTCGTAGATATTAATCGCTGTTGTCTCGGTGTCTGAAATTGCTAGCAATGGCAAGGAAGATCCACGTTTATGCACCCAACAAATGGCTCGTGGAGTATTTGGCAGTGTAAGGGTTGTCAAAAGATCTAAACTCTCACTGTCAGCACTAACCCTTTAATTCCATCAAAATCTAGAACAGACCGAAAGTGTCCACGTCAAAAACGGCAACCCTATTGTCAGCTCCGGCCGTAGCAAAACACCGCCCATCGCTACTAACATTGACGCTCACAATATCCGCGGTGTGTGCGCGGAACATCTTCACGAACTCAATCCCTACGGCCACCTTCTTCCAGAACTTTACGACACCATCCGCACTTGTTGTAATCAGAAAATCCGTAAACGGTGTCATTGTCACGAAGCTAAGGTTATCCCGGTGCATTAACGACTTGGAGTATCGCGGCGAGGATGGCATTGCCGACAGGTAGAGTTTCTCGTGGGGAAGGGTTCGTCGCTTCTTTTTTTTTGACCCACCGGCTGGGGGCAAGGTAGGCCCTATGTCGTCGTCGGACGAAGTGTCTGGGACGAGGTTAGTTGTCAAAACTTATGTTTGGGAGTCTAAACGGAAATATACCCTCAGCATCCTTTGGAGTCGCGACGGGTATGGGTCGCGGTGGAGGCGCATCGCTGATAGCTCTCTTTCGCTTACTCAAGCTGGAGGAACCCTCCCCAGCAGAATCTCTGTCGGACATTGTTTGTTGCTATTGAGGCTGCGGTGCTAGTGTTATCTGTATTTGGAGGATTCGACAAAGGGAGAAAGTCAAGGTGTTGTTTTCGTGGCTCGGTTAAATTTTGCTTGCTTCCAAAACCGCGCTGAAGACTTTTTAAGCCTCAATCTCAATACGGTAGTGTTAAGCCAAGGCCCACACAAATCAACAGAACCCACCGCTAGCTCTCCACTTCCAAGGTCCTTAACAACTACAATGGCAAGTTCTCTGAAACTGCGGCCCATCCTCCGAACAAGCATAGCTAATTGTACATCTAGGCGCAAATAAAACCCACAAAGCGCATTTCGCGGCGTGATAAAGCTTCAACCTCCCGTCCGCTCCCCTCAGCCCGCCCCACCCCCACGATCCCGCTCCAAGTCAAAAAGAAAACTAGGCAGAGCATAAAACACTCATTATTTGTCAACAAAATCGAAAAGTCCTCCGCTCCATCTGCCCGGTCTCGCCGACGAAAGGCAAAAGCTGCGCAAAACTCCCTCATCACTGGGCTCGAGTCTCTCGCTGATGCACTTCCCTCTGGGACACTCGATGAGTCGATAAACTTTACATCAGCCAGTAGTAAAGCTACGGGTAGAAGCAAAGAAGGGGGGATTGGGAAGAAGAGTATGAAGTCCCGACCTGGTGCGATGAAAAGGAAGGAGGGGGTCGTGAAGAGTGAGTGCGAGCGGTTTGGGAAGAATCTCGCCATCATGCAGACCGGAGCAATCGCTGGGGCTGCAGGAGGAGGGGGAACATGGGCTGCCTTGAGGGGGTTTATCGAAGGGACCATGGAGAAGAAGGAGGAGTTTGCTAAGGCAGACTGAGATGGGAATTTGAGAAATAGAGCCATTGGGGTTATACTGCCAAAGTGTTCTTTTTGGTACTAAAAGTTTGAGAGCAGTAATTGTATATTATTTGTTTTGGATTTTACGAATAATGAAAACACTCCAGAAGCCTACGGGGGACTCTGCCACTGTGGGAAGCTTCCTGCAGTGTGCAGTGACTAGAGCCCCAAAAATCTTGTAAAGATTCCAGCTAAACTCCGTGAGTGTGCTAGATAGCCCATGTAGAGCAATATTCAATTTGGGAGCTCCTCGAGATATCATTCAACACCACCTAGGCATTGAGAACCGTGTAGGGGAGAGCTCTCTCCACCTATTAAGCGCAAATTCTGGTCATCCCCAAGTGCCATGAATGGGATGGCGGGTTAGCCAAAGAGCCAAGCCATCCGATCCCAACACAACTGTCAAAAACTTGAGTATCGTGCTTCTTGCCCTTGTTTGACAATGCCCTTGCAATTCTGGAAGGAGGGGCTAAAGGGCAAAAATAACGACCGAAGACGGACTCGAACCGTCAACCTCAACCTTAGGAGGGCTGCGCGCTACCATTGCGCCATCCGGCCTGCCCCTGATTTTCCAGTTAGGCGTATGATATGTTTTGGAAAGTTTTCCACCAGTCCTACACATAGCAGAGGTTCTGCTATGTACCCCCCCAAGAAGTGTTCACACGAGTCCTTAAGGAATTTGTGAGTTAGCTTGTGAGTGCTACATCAACGGAGGGCTTGCGGGGGAAGCTTTATTTTTAAGAAAAAGAGTGCACTGATATTTGGCTGGTCTGTCTGCCAAAGCCTGGGGATTACCGATAAACTCCAGGGTTGTGCGAGGGTCGATCGTGGTGCGCAGGCTTCCCAGTCTCAAACATGTCGGTAGGTGCCCATTTCTGGGGGTGAAATTTAACTTTGCTTGAATCACTAAAGTGTATTCGAAAAGGGAAGAGAGGACGAAATCTTAGATGTTATATAGTTCCTTTACAACCTGGAATATGTAACCCCCCGAGTAGTAAATATAGTGGGCTAAGTATGTAATGTGGAAATAGCGAAGACTGTTGAGATGCTTGTAGTCTATTCCTTTTTGATAACTCACGTTGAGCTTGAAGTGATGGAGGAGCAAAATAACGAAAATGTAAAAATACAGCCTTTAAGTATGAGCACTGAGTTACCTGATGGAATTTACACCTTTTTGCCTTTTCTACTAATTTTCTTTGTTCCAATTTTTTTCTGGAAGGGATTGGAGAAGAGGCTGTGTTCATGGAATACTCACACTGGCTAGGGCTGTACTTGGTTTAGCTTTTATATCCCAAAATATACTGTATATTGGAGATTAGGGGATAATCCATCAAGATACGATAAGGCAGCCACCTCTTAGCAGGGTGTTAGAATTTCTCGAACGTTTGGTGGAATCTGGGACAGGGGGGCACTACCTCTTTGCAGAGGCGAGTGATTATTGATGAACCACCCGCGGGTAATATTTTGGCTCACTTGAGGAACGGAATTGGAATCCTTGCGATTGTGGCAGGATTTGACAGATACGGGGGCAGTAGAGTTGATATTATGATAGGGAAGGGAGGGCTGTATGATAACTCATTAACCTTTTGTACGATATAGTTCCCACCATCTACTAGCATGCTCAACCCTCGGTGGATGCAACTGGGGGCGCCTTGGCATGAAATTTAGTGTTAAAAGCTGCAAATAAGCTCAATTCCATTTAATGTCATTTTTTTTTAAATTTTTTAATTATTATAAACTGGGAGTATTGTATGCTTTCCTTTATCCACCTTTTCATCAAGACCCCCCCCTCCTGTGGCCTTTAAGTATACAAAATAAATATATAACTCAACTGTAACCCTGGTTTGAACGTATCATAGACTGTATTTTTTTTGTATGAAATTTTATGCCAAGGCGTCCCCCGTTGCATTTGCCCAGGTGTTGTGTACAGTACAGTACAGAGGGCTGGGACTATATAATAACTTCAGCACCGCAACCTATAAACGAAAACATTGCGTGGTTGGGAAGGGGGGTCCAGACGCCACGAAAACCAACATTACTAAAATTAATTACCATTTTATCCTCAGTTCTCTAGAGGTACCCTCTGCGGAGGCCTATCGTACCACCACAACGCCTATCACCACCCCCAACAACTGCAACGCCCAATGGACCCTCGGCTTCCCGGCACCGCTCTCTTCTCCATCATCAGCACGACTCTCTTCTCCTCCACCGCCAGCACTGCTCTCTTCTCCACCATCAGCACCACTCTTTTCTCCATCACTGCTATCCTGTCCCTCATGTTCTACACTCGCTATTTGCTCTCGGACATTCTGCGCAAACGCCCCTAGTACATTCCCCGGTGGCCAGTATTCGCAAACGACATACCAACTATCGTGCCCACGAACGAGTAAATTCTCGCACTTGACGGCAGCACACCCAACAGACCTCGTTGCGTTCCAAATCACCTGCGTGAAGTGGCCCGTACCTTTCAAAAACTGCGCTTGGGAGAAGTCATACAGCTCGCGTTCGTTGCCCCAAGCGTCTACTGCAGCTGTGACGTTGAGGAAGCCAGCTGCTAGGTTTTCGCCGTACGCGGCGCTCTGGCGATTGTTAATATTGTGGTTAGGGTGGAAGGAGGGAGGATGAATAGGGTGGGGCTCACTGAGTGCTTCCAAACGCATTTTTCCACGTAGCTTCTCGCAAAGTCTTTTAAAGAATTGTTCCAAGCGAGTGGAACGGAGCCGTGTTCTGCTCGCCAGCGATTGTGGGCTCTGAGTGCGTCATACTCGAAACGGGAGGTGTTGGTGTAGGATTCTGTGTCTACTTGTACCTGTGCAAGGGCTGTTGTTGCGGCGAATACCGCTGGGAGGAACACTGATACTAGCATTTTCGTACTATAAAATCCTGACTAGAGACTGAAGGGGGGGGAAGGAAAATAGTATTGGTTTATCTTAAAAGCTTGTAATCTTAAGCTTGAACTCTTGGAATGCCCGGGTTATTATATACTCGCGGCAAAGCTACCCATATCTAATCCAAGACTACACGTATCATTGTCGACCATCAGATATGTTGGAAGGGGAGTCTTGGCCGACGCGCTTTTGTTTGCCAGCGGAGGCTAATAATGCAAGCAGTGGAAACTCGGATAATTGGGCCAACGGTCTTGTCATTGGAGTTGTCTCCTCTAGTAAGGTTTGGCTCATTTTATTTTTCCATGGATTCCAAGAGGGGAAGAAAGCCCACCATTTTTCTGTACTCGAGTATTTTTCCCGGATTTTTCTCGAGTAGGGAATTTTCGACGACGAAGCACATGATCCAATTAGACTACTGGTAGTCTATTCGAGTTTCCTCCACAGTAAGGTTGTCGTTATTAGTCAAGCCCCGCGATTCGACAACGACATACTCGAGTAACTTACCCGAGTGTACTTGTAGTATCGAAGTGCCAAATCCTTCCCCATCCCAACCACTACCGACATGATATCACACCGGAAGGTCTCTGCCGCTCGGCCCCGGGTACGGCGGGTCAAGTAGACATCGAGTGCAAAAAAACTTAAGCGAGTGGTAACAAGAAAGGAACACTAACACTAAGGCCAGGTACTCGGGTATATCATGAATTCATGGTACAGAGCAGGGATCTGATATTAAACAGTAGTGGTACAGTGCTTGTCAGATGTGTTCCATAATTTTGTCCAAGTCAGAGGTATTGAATTTAACAAAGCAGGAACGAGAAAACAAAAGATATCATAATCATTACTGGTTGTTACTGATAGTACGTACTTATTTGCCCCCTGTTTCCCTTTCCGATCACTTATTTTGCCAGCACAGAGACCCAAAAGCAGCTGTATGCAAAAGAAAGGAAGGGAAAGAAACGAACAATGGAAAGTAGAGCCAATAAGAATAAAATATGAGAAGTAATCTGGTCATAGAAATTGGCCAGAGATAGCATATAGGAATACAACAAATTGAGACTAATGAAGTAAAAAGTCAACTTGAAGAATTAAAAGGACAAAAGAAAAAGAGAAAGGCTAGTATTTGGTATGGCCCCTGTTGGTATCTACAAGGGTGTCAACATGATTGATCATTGTATTGAGAATTTGGCTCAAATCATGTTCGGTAATTGCATTCCACTGGTGGTGAATTGCTGCTTGCATATCCAAATTATTCTGGG